ATTAATGAATAAAAGGAGGGATCTGGGAGATTGTTTTGCTATGTGGGAACATAATATAATTGCCGAGGATTTCAACAGCGCGCTTTCATGTCGCAGTACTACCATTATACTGGGTGAGATTATATCAGCTTAATTTAGCTTTCATTTACCATATTTTGGATATAGCTCCCCCGACCTTTGAATAATTTGCAATATAGATTCGCCCATTCTTGAACGGACTTCATCCGTGTACTGGATGTCCTTGTATATTGTAGTCAGCTTGTTTAAAGTTTTCTCTGGGTATACATCAGCCAAAGCAGAGCATCCTTTAATTGCATTCAAATAGATAAAGCTGTCAGTATCCTGTAGAAAATCGATAAAGATGTTGATTATAGAATCAAGGTGCTGAATAGAGATTGGATCTTTTTGTAAAACCAAATACCGTATTTGGTTCATTCCATGGGCTCTAATTGGCAAAAGTTCGTCGCCCAGTTCCTTTAACGCTTCTCTGAATATTTCTTCTGACTTGCTCTCCTGTGTATTTGATTTAGCCCTCGACATCAATTGTAATTGAACAGAACGTGCCAACAAAGCTACTTGATCGTTTCCATCACATAATGTTGAGAGTATGATTTTAATTTCATTTAAAGATTCCAAGTCTTCCACAGGTTCATCTACGTTAAACATTTCAAACCTTTGTTGTTGAATATTTGAGATAGCAACGTCAAGCCCATATGCTTTTCATCATCATCAGAGTCTAGCAATGTCGCTTTGACAAATTTGAGTATTTGCTTTGTGTTCTTTAAAAGAGTATCTTCAAAGGTATCCAGAAATGCAACAATGACTCCAGAATAATAGATAGCCAGCCTGATATTAAAATGAATTACTCTTCAGTATCTCTGATATCATTATTGACCAGAACCAGTCTAGTCTCGAGTACTTGAACAAAAAAGTCTCCAACAAGTTCTGGTTTTTCCAACTGAGACATGAACCTTGCCAAAATTACTGGATCAAAAGTACTAAATTAAATAGAATATACTATTTCTGATTTGTTTCTATAAACTGAATTCCTCCTTCAGATGAGTTTGATATTCCCAAAGATTCCTTTTCTACGCTGTTCTTTGTAATCTCAATTAATACAGCGACAGCTTTGGGTGTATCCAACAGCTTGATAATAATTGATAGCAGTTGGAATACCTTTGTTTGTAAACTGCTATTGCTATATTGGTATATTGCAAATAGGGGATGAACAGCTAGAGTTAGATGGGACGTACTGGGTAAAAAACATTCGACTAAAGCGTAGCTAGGTTCATTCCCAACCAGTAAATTTTCCAAATTTTTCAGACACTGTTGTAAATCTTTGCTTGTTGTAACTATTCTATTTCCATCCAAATCCAATTCCGTATCTAGAGTAGAATCATACACTGGTTTAATGTAGTTGAGTATCGGTTGGAGAATAGGTGATATCAACAACGCTTTGGCCATTTTTGGTCTCTTGTTTACAAAATTCACAATCACAAATGCCGCACATTTGATGGATATTATTACGCTGTCCAAAGCCCCATTTGTTTTGTTTTCGGTTGAACTATTCAGGATTTCTAAAAGCTGTTTGCAGATTATATTGTAATATGTTGGTAAATCTACATACCTCGGTGACTGGATTATATTGGAAATCTTTTCAAAATGAAGGAATGTAATATGGTCTGCGTTAATAAATATTACCATCTGGGTCTTGTTTTATAAGACTGTGGAACAAGCTGGCACAGCCATCTGGTCTTTGTAATGTTTGATAGAGATACTTTGTAGTGGTAGCTTTTATGTAATCCGGAAATTGGGATGAATTCATCATCATTTTAATCAGTGAATTCAAGATCCCTAACGTTGGAAGCTTTTTGGCATATATTTCCATGTTTATCAAATCGCCATTGAATTCAAAGTACTTTTGCAATTCCGTTTGTATCTCTTTTGGTACAATGTCCTTTTCAATGTTGGAGATTTGCATTTGATTAAGCTTCAGCTCTACTGTATTGTCATTGTGAATCAGAATTAATAGTACTTCGCTGTAGTGTTTTTGTAAAATAATTTCCCCCACAAAAGTTGGATTTCTTCTATTCCTTATCCAGCTGATTATGTAAGCCAAACTAGTATGGGATATGTTTGTTTTTACAGAGGATGGGTACTTGTATCTTTTCAAGAGCAGATTTTTCAATTCTGGTTCCAGCGATGGTACGATTCCACAGCAAATGATGATTGCAATCAAAGTACTAACGGCTTTGCTATCCTTCATCCCCAATTCTGCATTCTCTAGGTGCAACTGGTGAATGGTTCTAATGCATTCCAAAACATATTTTCCCATTAATTGATCAATATCTCCTTGTATCTTTAGTCGTTCTTCCAGTAATTTTTTCAAGTTGGGGTTGTTCAAGTTTAGCTTGTCTGCATTGCTTGCCAACAAATATAATTGATCTCTTGCCATGAAAACGGAAAAGAAAATTTGTCACTTTTGTTGAATTTGAGAGCATTGGGTAAATATGCAAAAGCCAATTTTTCGACATGGCTAGATGGCCGAGTGGTCTAAGGCGTTGGACTTAAGTTCCAATTCGTGAAAGCGAGCGTGGGTTCGAAACCCACTCTAGCCATACTTTTTTTTCTATACTTGCCATGTCTGTCTTAATGAGCTCATGGTCAGTGCGATTAACTTTATTTAAGCCCTGTATCAATTAAACATCAAGTTGATCAGAGTCCGATTCGTGGCAGTAAGTGACCAGCCACCAATGTGAAGGGATGAATGACCCGCAGTTTTTCAAAAATTAAATGCTCCAATCGATATCTCTGGAAGTATTAATTATTTCGCAATACTTGACTCTCCAAGAATACAGCCATTTACGTTTCTCAATTAAACTGAACCTGCCGAAAATTCTTTATTCAACCTTTGGTTCTTTCCATTGTTCAAGGATACCAGGATATGATATTTCACAACACATTGTGGTTTCAAAGGACTATATTACACCTGATATGTTGGACTATTTCATTAATAATCACTGTTTTGCACAGTTTCGAAACAGTCTCCGGATTTTTAAAAATATCCATTGGGAAGGATTAAAATCAGTGGTTCTGTGTTCTCCATTTGAATCTGACATTGTTTTGCTCTTGCTGGATTCACACAGTGATCATCAAACTAACGCACCCACTTTTAGCGAATCTCAAGCAATTATCTCGCTATTTCAAAATGCTGTAATCAAATATATAAATCAAAATCAACCGAAACTGCTAGAAAAAATTATTAGACATATAGATCCAAGTTTTAGTGGCAATTATCCACTCTTTCTGTCCGCTCAATCAAAGAGAATGGAATGTGTTGAAATCCTCGTAGATCATCCAAGTGTGGACCCATCAATCCAAAATAATTACGTATTTAGAACAATAGTAGATAGTGGCAGTGCAAAGTTAGTTAAAAAGCTGTTGAATGATCCACGAGTTGACCCATCATCTGCAAACCAGGAAGCTTTCTTTAATTCTGTAAGAGCTAGAAGGAAAAGCATTGTAAAAATTCTTTTAGAAGATTCCCGAATAGATCCAACCATCAATTCCAATCAATCTTTGTTATTTGCTGCAATGCTGGGTAATTTTGAAATTGTGGAATTGCTGCTGAAGGATTCTCGAGTTAATCCAGCTCTAGATGATTGTAAAGCAATACAAATAGCGTCCTCAAATGGACATGTAGATGTAGTAACAGCACTCTTACAAGACAATAGAGTGGATCCATCAGCAAATGATAACAATTCTTTCAAATCTGCAGCAAAAAATGGCCATATTCAGGTTGTTTGTGTGTTGCTCAAAGATCATAGAGTTGATCCAACTGCAGACGGATGCTTTGCTTTTCGAAAAGCTGTGTATAATGGAAATGTTGCACTAGTGAAAGAACTATTACTTGATTCAAGGGTTGACCCTACAATCCACGATAGTTATCCTGTTAGAATTGCTTGTCTACAGGGCCACTATGAAATTGCTGCGTTACTTTTAAAAGATCAACGAATATCAGTACATCCAGATTGCCTGAACAATGCCATAGAATCGGGCAACATGGATATTGTCCAACTCTTATTAACACGAGTTGTTCCTGATAATCAGTCTCTAAAATACGCAGTTCAAGTCGGTAAAAGTAACATTACCCAATTGTTATTGAAAGACAAACGGCTTGATCCAAAGATTACTGAATATTACTCTAAATTATTGCGTAAAAATGAACGGGTAGTTGGTCTAGTTAGCACAATAATCGATATGTTTAGCCGTAAATAAAGATTTAATGGAAGGACTATTTTCAGTGTGTTAGGAAAGATATTCAGAATAACAAAAAATGAGCGAAGCGAGGTTCGAACTCGCGCCTCTTTCGAGACCAGGGCCTAAACCTGGCGCCTTAGACCACTCGGCCATCCGCCCACGGTTTCGCAAAATTGCCTCTCTTTGTATTGTAATTCATTTTATTGACTTTTCCAGTGGTAAACTATTCCCTTTGAAATATCAAGTTTGAATTTATTATTCAGTACCTCTGTTCTATTTCAAACTGTGTGGAATAAATTAATAATCTTTTATTCTAAAGTATCTATAGTGACTCTTGGGAAGAACTTGAAAATACTCAGATACAGCATAAAAATACTTGGATACGGTATGCTAACAATCAAGAAAATTTTGAGCTATGGATGAGAATTGAATGGGGTGTATGTATAATCCAAATACCAGTGCAATCTAAACGGTACGAGGAATGGGTGATAAAGTGAAAAGTTGTATTTATTTCCTAGATGTAGCGCCTAGGCGATAATACTCAAAACACGAATATTATAGAGGAATACCCTTGGAATGCAAAACATGCTCACATAGGTATGGATCTATCTACCTCACAAGCATGAAAATTAGTTTACAATAACCTGGAAATAAGACAGATGAGATAAATCATTTCAGATTAAAACGAGAAATAATTTTGAAGTCTATTTCATTTTGTTCTTCCTCATCAAGAGGAACATGGGCGGATGGCCGAGTGGTCTAAGGCGCCAGGTTTAGGCCCTGGTCTCGAAAGAGGCGCGAGTTCGAACCTCGCTTCGCTCATTTTTT